GACAGTTAAATTAGTTCCTTGTTTAACTGTCAACATTTACAAGTGTAAAGTTTCACATAACTAATTTCAAGTTCTTGTAAAAAGGTTACATCACCACCCTATACTCGTGATGATGTTGTGGCCTGAATTTCAGTAACAATCCTGATTATATTAGGCTTAAATTGGATAATGACAGCAATAGCTGGAAATAAAACAAAGCAAGACTCCAAGTTTAATTTAGTGCTCACCTCAACAGCAAACAATCATCACTGAAGAACTGCATTCAATTTGTTTCTTCCTCTTTTTACAGAGGTTAATAATCGTTATAAGTGTAGGCTAGAAACTATGTTCATAACTGACTATGTTTGGGTTCGACAAAAACACAATGAGCTACTCCTTTAGGGAAAGGGCCTAAAATTGAAGCGAACCCTTGACTTAAAGCTGTCTAGGAATCAGTTCAGAGACATTTTTACATAATTGGAATATACTTTACACTGCTGCGAAATTAACCTATTATTGTGACATTAGGGGAAGAAATGGAGAATAATTTTGCAAATATTTCAACTCTTCAAATAGTTTCAAAGGAAATTTATTATTCACAGGGTAATCAACTACCTAATTCGGTCAAGATTATTTTAAAAATCCATATTAGCACTTTAATAGGGATCTGTTTCTACTATTTCCACATACGTCACAGTTACTTAAACCCGCGCAGCCATGACTTCTTTAAAATGAAAAACAATTACCTTAAACATTAATTCCATGAACACATGGGAAGCTTTTCCACTCTGATTATATATAAACTTAAAGTTACACTAAAGCCAGAATGCACCTTCTTTGAAAACTCACATCTTGTGCTGTCTCTGGTCTCCTTTCTCCAGTAACATATGCAGATTGTTCTCCTTCAGTTGCTCCTAAACGATATCCACCACCACCAAATGGCTTTAAAAGAGAAAAAAAAAAGCTTCACAGCTTAATAAATTTAAAGAAAGGTTTTATTTGACTATACTTTATGTCAAAGTCAAAAGCTTAAAATCATTAAACTACAACATCCATACCAAAAAGAGTGTTAATATTCTTATCATCCACATTACTTCACTGAAATTTAATATAGTAACAAGGCTGTGTTTATTGCCAACTCAACGACTAAGTGTACGGTGACAGCATACAGCACACAGAAATACAGCTTTGCAGTTAAAACTCCTGAACGTCAGCTCACTGGAATTAACAAACATTACAGAATGGCGAACTGACCTGTTAGTGAGTGGTTTTATTAAATCTGCAGCACTGTACTGCTAAAGCATCCGTGCAAGAGGTACCTCCAAAATGAATTAGAAAGCTGTTGACCCAACGACGTGCTCAGGAAGACCCCTCGGTGCCTCACCCATCACTGCAACCATTACATAATTGATGTACCAAATGGAAAGCCATGCAGCAAAGGATTCTGCCATGAATGAGGTGGGGTTGTCGGGGGTGGTGGTGGTGGTGATGCGGGGTGGGAGGAGGAAGAGGAGCATTGCAGCAGCCAGGGGTCAATTGGAAGGCTCCATCACAGTTCAATGCACTCTGTACACGTGCAAGCAGTCAGAGGTTATCTTTAGCGACCACCTTGGTATTAGCAGCACACACCCCAGATTAACAAAATGTACTTGAGTCACAAGGAATCAAGGTGCTGTACGTAGAGAGAAAAAGCATACCACCTAGAACAGCATTGTTCAACTCCGAGCTAGCAGTGTTAGGGGTGGGGGTGGTTACCATTGTCTTCAACAATGTTGGGCTGAAGTTGGAAGGGTTGTGAGACAGTGGTAGGAGGCTTGTGAGGAGCAAGAACACAGACATGAACCTGCTGGGCTGAATGGCTGTTTGTGATAAATATATTGTGGAGTACTGCTATATCTCATGAAGATCTGCAAGGACAGTAGTGACTGGGAATAAGAGTTAACATGGAGTGCGATGCAGACAGCAGTGTTTTGGGTGAACTGGCGATCTTAATTTGTTGCACCATTGAAAGTCTACTATTCTTTTAAAGAGGTGATGAGGAAAGCATTCAGAAAAGGCTGTATATCCAAATACGCTTCAAAAATCATTACCAGTTTAACTCAAATATTCTCATAAGCATTTATACCTAGGATCTCTGGCACCTGGAGTACAGTGTCAGTGGCATATCTGTGCTCAGTAGATCTATCTGCACGAACAATTTTAAAATACATCCTCAATTTTTAAATAAATGTTCATAGATCAATTAGAATCACTAGATCATTTGCTGCTATAATTAGAATGGGAATAACTTGAGAATGAGCCAGGAAAAAATACAGCAAGGTTGGGGGCAAAAGGACAAGCACTTCATTCTACAAAACGACTACCAGCCCAGTTGCTGTGATGAGAGGCTAGGAAGTCACAGGCCTCCAAATCAGCCTCAAACTCTGCCTGGTGGCTTTCAATAGCATACATACTTTAGACTTGCTGGATTCTCCAGGACTCTTGCCAGTTCGTTCGACAGCAACTGCACCATGCTCTTTTGCCCCTTTAAACAGATCTTCTACTAATTCATTGGAATTCTTCTTTTTTGGAGGACCAACGATTTGCTGTCCACTTCTTTCAGATCCACCAGCATAAAATCTTTGAAATTAAAAATACACATAATCATCAAGCGTATGTTCCCTTGAGGCTATAATCAGCTTCATGTTTTCAGTACTGTATTGATGAATACAGTCTTTCAATTGTATAAAAAAAAATTCAACATTCTTTTTCCTTTCAGTACAAATTGTTCAGTGGCATTCTTTAGATTTCAGAGGTGATATTCATCTCATTTCTAACAAAGGGGCATTATGTAATTGTTACTTTTACTATGACAAGATTAACCAATGAACTGAATGCCTCAAATTACATTTGCATGAGGACTTAGTAAGCATTAAATAATTATTAGAACTGTACAGTTTACACAGTGGAGCTCTCAATAAAGACAACATTTTGTTGAGGTGTGGGGGAGGAGCTCAACAGCATGCTGTATGGCCAGAGAGACTGGTGCTGCCTCCTGTAAGGAAGGTACATCGAATCACATGCCAGTTAGGCAGGACATGGGCAGGCCTTCTCCTAGAATCAAGGTTCTGGGTCAAACTTCTTACTTAGTGAGAACTGCATGTCAATCCAAGTCTGGAAATGTGTTCAACAGCACCACGGAGGAGACTGTGATTGCTGCCAGCAGAGCAGCTCCAGCGTCTGAGAATTGCAGAAGGTCTTTCTGGTTTCCTTTGGGAGGCACTGGATGAATGGGCTTCTCTTCACCTGATACTCTAATCCACTCGAAACAAAGGTCTGCATTCCATTACACCTTCTCAAAGTGGGCCAGTTAGATCCACTTTAAGTTAAACAGACAAGGTATAGCACATAATTCATTTTTGTTGTCCAACTGCATGTTCTACGAAGAGGCGGGAGGCTCATTTAATAACGGGGCACATTCCCAACTGGCTGATAAAATTCAACAGTGACAACCATCCCAAAGATGAAGGGAATCAAGTAGCAGAATTTTACAAGTATATACAATTAACACTAAAAGTGGTAAATTAGAACAGCTTACCAGGACATTCTCTGTTATGCCTTTACTGGACACATCAGAGCTCATTATGTATCAAACTCAATTGGAACTTGGAACAACTGTGTTAACTATCTGTACCGCAAACACTTCAAATCATAAATTGATAAAGGGCAGAAGGCCATTTGGCCCATTGTGTCCAAGTCTGCTCTTTGATGGAGCTATCCATTTACACACAATACAATGCATGAATTTCTTCTTAAATATTCATCCAATCTTCTTGTAGAAATCATATGAAAATATTAATTGATTTGGTTCAATATGGAAAAATGCATTGTACAGAAAGACAAGATTCTTGTTGAGAAATTCATTGATCTGCAAACCTTTGGCCCTCGTCATCTTCGTCATCTTTCTCTTCATGCCATAAATCTCTGAATGAGGTTACTCTGGCATCGCTATAATTTAAAATATAGGAGGTAGATTACTATAAATTAGATAAAGGACATTTTATCTGATTATTTGCTTTTGACTGTCAAACAAATATGGTATAATACCATAAATATCCTTTATTAACCAAAGAAAAGCTGATTTATTCTGACTTTCCTCCAACGAAGAAGTTAAAGATAGCTAGGACATTAAACATGTGTTTACACCACAAAGATCATTTGAACGCATCTTTGAAGCATAGCAGCAGCCAGACAAAAATTAAAGAATGAGTCATTAAACATATTTTATTTGACATAAACAAGCAGCAAAATATGACAGGTGAGGGCTGTTAAATTATATGCTACTTAATAAAAATACATTTAGTGCTTATGGTGGTGTCTTCAAGATGATGTTTCATAACATCTGTACTTACATTGGAGATTTCTTGCTCAATTCCACCCCCCTCCCCCAATACCAAGGTGTAAACACAATCTACCCCAGAACAATGCCTATTTTTCTTCCTTTTAGATCCCTTACCGGTTGAACTATTAAAGCATTTAGTCTTATACATAATCTAAGTGCCCTGCTCAGACACGGATTAATTTAAAAAAAATAGCTTAACAACTGTTCTAGTGTCCCAGAGGCATCGCTCAGCAAGGCAACTGACAATTCCCTAGTGATAAGATTTTTAAGAAAGTGCAATGTCATGGCCTCACACCACATACAAACAAAAGTCATTTCTGGATACAGCAGCTAACTAAGGCAGATGACAGCAAAAAAAGACAATTACGGTAAGATTACAGTAAAAGAAGATAATTACAGTAGCAGAAAGTAAAATCCAGTATGAAATGAAAAGGACTGAAGCACAGAATGTTTAGAAAGAGAAAACAGACACAAGGACAAATAAAATAATCAACCACATCAACATTCCAAGCTATCCCAATATGCTTACATTACCAATTGCTCAAATCAGGGACTTTTTTTAAAAAAAAAATCCGTTTGTTTTCCACAGGATCTGCACAACTGCAGTAACCAACAATTGTTTGGAAACACACAACCGATTATATTACAATTAGCATTTGTGCTCTTGGCCACTAAAATCAAATTTTGCCCTGCAACCTGTTAAAGATAAAACCTGGCAGCTCCATCATTACTTTCAGCCTCAAGACTGTTATTAAACACAAAGATAACCACAACATTAATGTGAAAACAAATCAAAAGTCACGCAGCACATGAAAGGTTTCGAATTTGAGTGATAATGTGTACATACAGCTGTGAAATACAAGTTCATGGGATGGAACAAAAATCTGAATGTGTGCTTTGTTTTATCGTTTTAATTGTAACAAAATATCTGCGGTGGAAGAAAAAGGTTTAATTTTCTCAATGTTTGATATCTGCTATTAGTAAAGAGTACACCTTTGTCAGCAATTGTTAAAGGAGCAAACCACTTCTACCTCAATCACAAGTTTTAATTTCCAACTAGCGACCTTGCTATACCAGTGGGACATTCTTAATTACAACAATTTTAAGCTGTAGTGCAAGGATAAAACATTTTGTTCTAGCAGGCTACTTAGCTGCAAGATAAAAACCGAAAGAACTGCGGATGCTGTAAATCAGGAACAAAAACAGAAGTTGCTGGAAAAGCTCAGCAGGTCTGGCAGCATCTGTGAAGAAAAAAATCAGAGTTAATCAGAAGGTTCTGAGGAAGGGTCACCAGACCCAAAACGTTAACTCTGATTTTTTTCTTCACAGATGCTGCCAGACCTGCTGAGCTTTTCCAGCAACTTCTATTTTTGCTCCTACTTAGCTGCAAGAATCTGGTCATCAGTCCACCAGTGTTAGAAATTAATAAGGATATTAAAGTCAAACTACTAACTCACACTGGGGGTTCACACATAAATTAAGCAATTGGACCAAAAGCAGATACAGCAGTGAACTAAAATCCAGTATGGTATCAAAAGCTAAAGAGAGGATTGAGGGAAATAGTGAAGTTGGAAAGTATAAACAAACAGAAGCACAAGACCCTCACCTTTGTGCTACCGTTCTCGAACCTGTACTGGGTTCAGGTTGTGGAAGAGTTATCACATCATCGTCACCACCTTCTTCATAAAAGCTGCCCAGGGCAAGCTGCAACCAAATACACAATATTGGAGACCTTTCTCAAGTGTCAAATTAAATTTATTGTGGTTACACAAAAGCTTTCATTTAATTTTTAATATAAAAATGACAGCAGCCCAGGCAGAATTCCTTTAGACCATATTGCCCCCCGTGGAATATTCAAGACATCTCAAATGAAGACGAAATAGTTTGATTATTTATTGTGCTTCCATGATTTGCATAGCTGAACATCTTGTTCAATATTCAAAAAGCATGGAACAGGAACTAAAAGCAACTGATGTTATGTTTGGCATAACTATTCCCAACTGTTAGCAATCTACTACTAAATTTTATCTGGCCCAAAACAGAATTCATTTATTAAACTTGTCAATTCAACACATGCATTGTCCAACCCAAATCACACTCCTTTCAAAAAAGGATTAAAATCTAACATGGCTAAAAAGGTCTGATGACTAATCTGCAAAGATTCAACTAGTAATTCAGTGTGCCTACAGACCAGGTGGTCACTGAATCATTTACACAATGTGCAATTAGCTGATTACAGTAATGGTGATATCAGGGAAATGCTACAAGTGGCCTCAGTGTTCTAGGAAAGAAAAAGTGAATTTAAGCAGCATTCCCAGTCCTTACCAGCATCCAATAATTCTTGCTGTAAAGTGTTACATTGGGTCAGAAGAAGATATAGTTCATTAGTGATATCTCATTGTCAAATACCCTACTGTTATTGACTTTTTAGGTTAAGAGATGATGAACAATCATTTTTATTGAAGATAACTGATCACCACGGACTTTCAGTCAACACTCTCTGTAGGTCAGGACTAAAGCACAGTGAAAGCTCAAGTGACATCTACTCAACAAAACAGTGGCAAGACTGCCTCTTGGATCGCTACCGTACTGTTTTGCTTTTCATGTACTTAGTTCACAAATTTTGTAAAAATGAATGACAAACTTTCAGTCATATATTTACCAAACACAAACAATGAAAACTCTACAAGAAAGCTATTTCTCTGGATCTCCATCCCAGTCATTAAAGTGTCTTTGATAATTACATTATCAGGAAGCTGTCAAATGTGTAAAAGTCTGGAGAATAATCTGAAGATTTTTAAAATCTCTCCACAGTCCCAGAAAACAGTCATGGTTGACAGACTAAATCAATTGCTCTAAAATATTTTTTTCAGACCAAATCATTTTAGCTGCAACTTTACTGTTTAAGTTTTATCATCTGGTTTATAGGACTTTTCTCTAAAGGTTAACTTTGTTTCACCTTCATCTTTTTTAAATAAAAGTACAATCACCAGTTTTTTTTAAACCATTGTGAATGTCAGCTTTGCAATTAGAATTGTCAACTTGAATAATTTCCATTCCCTGTGCTTTTTATTTTTGCACTTTTTGAATATTTATCATTTCCATTTAGACTAATGTTCCCTACATCAGGGTCTAATGATAACACAATGCATGTCCATGTGTCAAAAAGACATTAATGTTTTTCTATCTTTCTCCACACTATTCCCAAATTTATACATCCTTGTTGACATAGCATAAAAATGGAAAGCGTTTTACTATTTATCTACTCAAAACCTAATGTAATTCTGAACTCTTAGTCTAAGAGTCATTTTTAACACCTACTCCAGTAGAAATTATAGCTTTATTTGTATCCTTGGATGATGACTTTTTTTTTTTTACAAGGATCCACTTTTGTTCTGAAACACTGCAACACATGCATTCAATTTTCTTGTGATTTTCCCATTTGTTTTCCCATCAGCCCAGTAACAGGCCAGCACACAAGGATTTCTCAGTCAATTAATTTGGAGATTTTCATGTCCCTTTAATCTCTGTTTGCCTAATTATTGAATTTGACCTTCCCAAAAGCCACATCTTTCTTCAGCTCAGAGAATTTTGACAAAGGTTGGTAATAATTAAGCCTGTTAGCACAGAGAATAGGTATTAGAGTTTAACTACACCACTTAAAAACATAAAGAACATACTAATGTTGAACTATTTGACTGCTTAGACCTAACTTATTTATCAAGATATTTACTTGCGAGGTTCTAAAGGAGGAGAGATAAAACCCAAAACAAATGTTAGATGACTGTCTTCCAATGAATGAGTCAATTAAGCGATTAGTGCATAGTGGTCTGTAATTTGGAAAACCTTTCTGGTTTAAAGATCACACACAAAAACAGGAAGTGCTGGAGAAACTCAACAGACCTGGCAGCATCTGTGGAGAGAGAAAGAGTCAACATTGAATCCAAGACAACAAGGTGCAGGGCTGGATGAACACAGCAGGCCAAGCAGCATCATAAGAGCAGAGAGGCTGACGTTTCGGGCCTAGACCCTTCATCAGAAAAAGGGTCTAGGCCCGAAACATCAGCCTCTCTGCTCCTATGATGCTGCTTGGCCTGCTGTGTTCATCCAGCCCTGCACCTTGTTGTCTCGGATTCTCCAGCATCTGCAGTTCCTACTATCTCCGATTCAACATTGAATCCAGTTTGACCCGTAAAAAAGAACTTTTCTCCACAGATACTCCCAGACTTGTTAAATTTCTCCAGCACTTTTTAAAAATTTTAGATCTCCAACATCTTCAGTTCTTTTATTGGTTCAGATATTACATCTGGGAAAGTAGTCATTAAGGATAAATTTGTGCTAGTTTTCACTGCTGCACACATCAGCTTGAGGCCAGTCATCACTAGGTAGGCTGCTGACATCTCCACCAAAAGAAGACCATTATTAGACAATTATAGTTTGAGCCCTTGCTTTTGTTTGGTATCTACGAATTTATCCTCTTCCCTAAAAAGCAATGGTGAGCAGCACAAATAGTCATGTTCATAAACTGTGCTCAGTTACATTTAGAAATAACATACCAACCTTTAGATATCAGAATATTGAGAGTGTATGATAATTGGCATCCCAAGCCTCAGTTTCTCACGAGTTAACATGATAAATACCTGCCTTTACATGATAAAAAGCAGCTTGGTCATATGCTGATCACATTGCTGTTCTAGACTTTCAAATCCAATACCAGACTTTCAGGTGACCTACTCCCTATAATGATATTGCTATCTAGTACATTCATAGTCAGGGTTGACGCTGAAAATGTAGTGTGGGCTCACGGCAGAATAAAACCTATCTTCCCTACAAAAAGTATCCTTTTTCCCCCTAAACGGTATCCGAGTTTAAAACGAAACTTTCAGGCTGGTCAGGAACCTGGTACGTGGTCCAAAGAAAGTTCCTCAGCTGTATGAAACACTTGTTGGATAATACTGGGCAAACAGCTCATAGGGCACAAACCATAGACTTGATTCCATTTGAGACCATCTCCTGTAAACTACCCCTAGGCCACTAAGGCCGGATCTACCCCTCCCACTGGCTCCCGCACTGCGGCTACAAGTTGCTGAATCACCACTCAAAAACCCCGGCCTGACACACACCGAGAGGGAGGGAGCAGCACCAGGCGGCATTTTGCAGGCCCTGGAGCAGGATCACATTTAAAAACGGGGGGAACCGCGCTAACCCGGCGCCATTTACCGGGACACCGCTACAGGCCCAAACTTGAGGCCGATTCTGGAACTGCGGACAGGCCGCGCTCCCGCTTCCTTCTCCCCAAACCCTGGCCTTACCTGCAGGTCCCAGTCCGCAGACTCCAGGTAGAAGCGAGCCCGCTCCTCCTCAACTCCTGTTACTGTCACGAACTCACGAATAGCTTCTTCCTCTGACACCTCCATCTTCCCGAGTCACCACCGGACTGTTCGCCCACCCACAATCTCCCGCACAAAGGTTCCGGTTGAAACAAATTATCCCACGGTTCGCAGCAAATATAATAAAACTCAAAAGAACAACAAACATTGCAACGTAGTGGTATAAATGAAGCAATTATAAGCACTTAGCCTGCTTTTTTGAGGTTTACTTATTAGTAAACCATTCTTCTGCTCAAATTTAATACACAATTTATGGATTACATTAAGATAACATAGAAAAGTGAGTCAGTGTACTGATGTGTAATTTCACGAATAAAATTCAGATTATTTAAACTGAAATATATTGAGATTAATAACATTGACAAATAAAGTGTGAATTTATCAACAGAAGGAGATGTTTCTATAAAGAAGAAGCCATTACCTGCCACTCAGCTGCCCTAAATACAGCAGATCTTGTCAATCTGATTGTGCACAAGGAAAATTGTCTGGATATTTGGGGGTTACTCTCTCCTGTATCTGGGAGATGAATTGTGCTGTGTCATTTTTAAAGCACATACTAAATTTCCATATTTTATTTTAAAACTTATATTGTTACAGAAATATACATGTGCTAAAAATAACAGAGTACAATTCCTGAATTGACACAAACATGTTGGCTTGATACAAATTATTGAACTAAGTTTAGAGGTAGAGGCATGATGCTGCTTGGCCTGCTGTGTTCATCCAGCCCTGCACCTTGTTGTCTTACAGGTAGAGTGCAGTTTTTATTTTAAATCTGAGAATTCACAAATTAGGGTGAGGTAAAATATCAAATAACAACCCTACCCACAGACTGGTAAAGATGGCAAATACCACAATGTATCTGGAGTGGTTATCTGAGAATATACGACATATCTGACTTCACTAAATGTTCACATTAAAAGGTTTTTTAAATTATTGTAATTGATGTATGAATGCAAAAATCTTCAGTCAATCAGAACATATGATACAATGGGCATAAATATCATAGGACAAAGTCCAAGACTACAAGTCACAATCACTTCCTGCACCAAGTCAATTATTGTCCAAACCTATTAAGCTTGCAAGAACTGACACCACTTGATTCCTATGGAGTATCCAAAAGAGGTTAAGAGGATCCTTGGCACCTAGTGAAGTTTGTGATTAAGCTGGCGTTATGGAAACATGATAAGTGGTCTCTAAGAATTTTCCAGCAGCTCTTTTAAAATCTGTCTTTGAAAGTTAAAACAAAATAAACATGTATAAACATGACTCCATCACTATCGACAAACAGAATAGATGATAATACACTGGCTGTACCTCAAAAATTTACTGCTTGAAATTAAGTCATTTAAGCCAATCCATCATGTAAATACCTAAATCTGAACAAATAACAATCAATACTTCTTAAGTAACTGAATTTACGTGTAGAGTTAAGATCGGCATTTATTTTAGACTATGCCTACTCCTATACATTCCCACAAATAGTTTTGTGTATTCCTATGATAGCTAGTAGAGATGCCTGGAATCAGGTATTAAAATGATATGATATGAGCCATTCTGTCCATTGTGCCTCTGCTGGCATTTTGTAAATGCTGTAGAATTAAGTCCACATCACTGCTCTTTCCTCAAGGTGCTGCATTCTTCCCCTTCAAGGATTTATCCAATACCCTTTGAAGATTGATATTCAGCTTCTTCCATCATCCTTTCAGGCAATGCATTTCACACCATAACAACTGGCTACATAAATCTTCAGTCCTCATGTTGCCTCATATTCTTTTGCCAATTTATGTCCTTTGGATATATACCCTTCTGCCCCGAACCAATTTCTCATTGTCTTATCAAAATTCTATAAGATTTTCAACACCTCGGTCAAATTTCTTCTCAACCTTCTCTACTGTAAGGAAAAGAATTGTCTTCTTTGGTCTTTGCACATAGCCGAAGTGCCTCAACATGGTAACACTGTAAAGTTTTTCTCCTCCCTTTCCAAGACCTTGACATTTTATTGAATGTGCTGCTCGGAATTGAATAAAATAATTCTACTAGAGACTAATCAGTGTTTTCTAAAAGTTTAAAAACATAGCTTCTTTGCATTTGTATTCTATGCCTCAATTTATAAAGTATAGGATCCCAGGTGTTTGAATAGCCCTTCTCAATTTGTCCTCCATCTTCAAAGATTTGTACTATGTCTAGACATTAGTAGATCTTCCTCTTCCTACATCCTTTGACATCATTCATCATGCATCATAATGTTTCATTATTGCTTTCTTTTCATTGTTCCTCATAAAACATGTGATTTCTCATTTGTCTAATTTAATCTGATATGAAATTCAGTTGTTCACTTCATCAACCTGTCTATATTCTACTGAAACATGTTACTAACTTTTCAGTGTTTTCCACCTTCTGTGTCATCTGTAAATTTTGAATTTATATCCTGCCTGACCAAGTACAGGTCATAAATATATCTTAGAAACAGTTGTGGTTCTAGCACAGACCTCTGGGCTTTACATTCCCCTTTGTTCTGAAAACAATTGCAAATCATCAGTTCCTGCATTTTGTTCTTTAATCAATTTTGTATTAAAACACTTTAAAGCCATGGTCTTCAATTTTGAGAATAAATCTATTAAATGGTACTTTGTCAAACACCTTCTGGAAGTCTGTATGCGTTAATTGTACTAGCCTCTTCAATTATTACATAATCATCAGTGGTTTTACTCAACATATAAACTGGAAAAATCACACTGACAGTAAAAGTCTTGATGAAAAGTTCATGGTCTGGAAAGTAGCAAATATAACCCTCTATTCCAGAAGGGAGGAAGGCAGAAAATGGGAAACTATTGGCAATTTGGTGCGGCACAGTGTCTTGGGGTGGCATGGTGGCTCAGTGGTTAGCACTACTGCCTCACAGCGCCAGGAACCCAGGTGCGATTCCACCCTTGGGTGATTGTCTGTGTGGGATTTGCACATTCTCCCTGTGTCTGCTTGGGTTTCCTCCAGCTGCTCCGGTTTCCTCCCACAGTCCAAAGATGTGCAGGCTAGGTGGATTGGCCATGGGAAATTGCCCATAGTGCTTAGGGATGTGTAGATTAGGTGGGTTATAGGGGGATGGGTCTGGGTGGGATGCTCTGACAGCTGGTGTGGACTTGTTGGGCTGAAAGTGTCTGTTTCCACACTGTAGGGATTTAATGATATAAATTAGCTTGATGGCTCTCATGGAGGAAGTGCTAAAATCAGCCATTAAGGAGATAACAGCTGGGCACTTGGAAAACTTCAAGATAATCAGAAAGTGTCACCATGCTTTTGTGAAAGGGACATCATGCTTAATTTATTGGGATCTTATGAAGGAGTACCATCAACCATACACAAAGGGAGCCCTTGATGTATTGTACTTGGATTTCCAGAAGGCATTTGAAAAAGTTCCACAAAAGAGGTTATTGCGCAAAATGTCAACACATGTGCAGGGTTACAACCCAACAAGGACAGAAGATTAGCTGGCTGGCTAGGAGAAAACAGGAATTATGCATTAGTGGATCTTTTTCAGATTAGCAGGATGTGAAGACTGGGGTCCCTTAGGGGTCTTTACTGAGCTGTCTACTTTTTACAACTTATATGAATGACTTAGATGATGTGAATAAAGGCACATTGGCTAAATTTGTATATGAAACAAAGATAAGTAGGAAATTATGTTATGAAAATGACTTAACAAGAATGTAGAACAACATATTGAGGTTAAGTGAGTGCACAAAAAATTAAGATGGAGTATAATGTGGGAAAATGTGAAGTTGTTCACTTTGACAGGAAGAATGAAAAACATAGTATTACCTAAATGGAAAACAACCGAATCCCAAAGCATGGATGAATCTAAGTTTTCTAGGGCATTATTCTCCAGAAGTTGGAATGTCAGCACAGCAAGATGAAGAGGGCTAATAGAATGATATCCTTCATTTGAAGAGGAATTGACCATAAAATTAAGGATGTTTCAGATATGCAGCATTTTAGTGATTGCACATCTCAACATGTGTGCAGTTTTTGGTCTCCTTGTTTAACGAAGGACGTACACACAATGGAAGTGGTTCAGAGGAGATTTAACAGATTGATACCTCGAATGGGCAAATTGTCTTATGAAGATTGGACAGGGCTGGGCTTGTATTCACTGGAGGTTAGAACAAATGATTCAACTGAAGCAATAGATCCTGAGTGATCTTGTCAAGGTAGATGTGGAAAGGTTGTTCCTTCTTGTGGTTGAGTCCAGAACTACATGACACTTTTAACCCATGAGTTAAAGACTCCAAAACTGCAAAATGTACTGCAGGTGCAATCTAACCAAGCTCTTATACAATGGAAGCAAGACTGCACTTCTACTGTATTCAAATCCTCTTGCAATAAAGGCTAACTTTCCATTACCTTACCTAATAGCTTGTTGCACCTGCAAGTTAGCCTTCAATGACTTATCAATAAGGACGCCTAAGTCTCTTTGTACTTCAACACCTGTCAACTTTCTATGTGCATATCTATTTCTCCCACCAGAGTGGATAACCACACATTTTCTCGCATTATATTCCATCATGATCATACCTATTCACTAAGCCTATACAAATCCTCCAGAAGCCACCTTACATCTTCTTCACAGCACACACTCCCACCTAACTTCGTATCATCTGCAAATATGGAAATGATACACTAAGTCCCCCAACTCCAAATCACTGGTGCACATTGTGAATAATTGGAGGCCCAAGTAGTGATCCTTGTGGTACCCCACTAGTCACAGCTGCCAACATGAGAATGACCCATTTATTCCTACTCTCTGTTTTCTGTTTGTTAGCCAATTATGAGTCCGTGCCAATACGTTACCTCTTTTCTCATGTGCTTTAATTTTCTAACCACACTTGTTAGGGAATTTATCAAAAGCTTACTGAAAATCTAAGTATATTATTTCCATTTTCTGCACTCTTAATTTTGTTTGTAAGGCCTTCAAAAAACTCCAAGTTCAACAAACATGATTTCCCATTCCCAAATCCATGCTGACTGGACCCAATCAAATCATTATCAAGCAGGTGTATATTTATCCGATCCTTTATAGTAAGTAATAACATTTTCACTGCTACTGATATAAGGCTAACAGACATGTAATTCCTTATTTTCTCTCTCACTCCCTTCATAAAGAGTGGAATGACATCGCTACCTACCAATCCAAAGGAATAATTCCAGAATCTAGAGAATTTATGAAAACTTCACTCCCTCCCCACCCTTGACCGCAGTGTACAACTTTGGACTATGGTGCTTTGGTTAGTTTGCTCATTTTCTCTGTTGTCTGTGCCCTCATTCACTCCAGCAGCAAGAACCTTGTTTGTCATGGCCTCTGCACTGGTTTTAGCCATGGGTCTGTCTGGTCACAAGAGGGGAGGAAGAAGGTTGGCAGTGGTGTAGTGATGGGAGATTAATTGTAAAGGGAACAGACTGACTCTAGGATGGTATGTTGCCTTCCTGGTTCTGTG